TATATATATATATATATATATATATATATATATATTTTGTTCCCCTCTCTCCCCTGTCCAAGATATCGCTAGTCACTCTCGCCTCTATCGCTTATACAAACAAAAACTAAATGTACAAATTGTGTTCCTGTTTATATAAAGCGAGAGAAAATTGTATATACACTTGCAAATACATGTATCTTCGTCCTATACATTTATAATTATACAATACAAATATTCTTCTGTCCAATTTTCTTTTGTCTTTTTCTCTTTCACGTTTTATACATATACAAATTATTCAATTGATTTGTGTACAAACTGCTTTCTTTTGTATATGTATATCAAATAATACAATTGATTTATCTATATATGTATAACGAATTGTACATATTTATGTTTGCTATGGAATACAATTATGAGATGAAAGAATTAACTAAGACCATCTCCAACTCACCTTTATTTTACTCTTCATTCCTATATTCGGAGAGTAAAATAGAGAATGGGCACTCCAACCCACCTCCAAATCACATACTATTCTCCAAATTCAGAGAATTGAATAGTAATTCTCCAAATTTGGAGAACTACTATTCATGCTCTCTATTTTACTTTTTAAATATTTTATTATTATTTCTATTACTTTCTAATTAACATATTATTTTGCGTATAGTTTCTTTAATTAAATATCTAATATTCATAAGTCGTTTTAAATGTAATATAATATTTTTAAAAATATATTATTTAATATATATTACTTTAATTTCAAATCAATGTATTTTTTTTATGATTTTCACTAATAGTAAAATTTTATTTTATTATTAATTTTCATTACAAAGAATATACAAAATTAAAATGGTAAGATGAAAAATTTAATTTAAATACAAGATAATAATAAAATACATAACATAATAATTTAAATACAACATAAAAAACAATAATAACATAACAATTAGTTCACGATGAAACAAGAACCATGTAAATAAGATGTTGAACGAGAATCAAAGTTTTGCTTATATGATAAATATTTAAAGATATAATTTTTCTTTTACTTTTATTGGTTCCACTTAATTTTCTAATATATTTATAAGAGAGAAAAATAAGTTACTTTTTTAAAGGACAATTTGATAAACATTTTAAAGTCGTTAATATTTTTTAAATTCTATATCAAATTAAATATTGTCATATAAAATGAAACGGATGGAATAGTAATTTTATGACCAAGAAAGCTAATACTATTATCATACGTTTCTAAAGTTGCACGTTGTGAGTCCTATTTAATTTGACTCACAGTACCCCAACGGCCCACACAGAGTAATATGTACGGATACTTTACTACTTGCGAGGCTCATTATTGACTAGTACTTATCATTATTATTATTATCATTACTAGTAATAATTTCTGATTACATTAATGCAAATGACGAGTGTACACATGGGATAATTACTCTATTCCTTCTCATTCACAAATTAGGCATTTAAATACTTTACTCATGTTCGTTCGTTATTCAATTCATTAGAGGAGCCAGTAGTGTACATATACGTTATAATTTCAAGTAGGTGGGATGTAGGCAGGTAGATCTCAGGTGAGAAGATGCGATTTTCGAGATTTCGATAATTTTTTCATAAATTTTATATTTAATTTGAGAAACAAATTTATATATCTCTGATGAGAATTCGATTCATTTAAACACGTATAATAATAAATTTAAAATTCTGAGAATTCAACACAGAGATCATAAATTTCTACGCGAACAATCTCACACAAACGAAATTGAGTATATATTTTTTCTAGTTCCTTTTTTTCTTAATGGTTGTTAATCAGTAGAAGTTTAATATCTCGTTAAAATTAACAAGATAAAATCTAATACTGTTACGCAATACAGATTGTGGATGCACGTGGCAATTTGATAAGCAATAATTCTTTATTGCTACTTGTCCAAGAGGCATGGAAGTTATTACTATATGTTACATAACATTTATTTTATTTTCAAAATTAAAACTTTTACAACTATAAAAGGTAGCGTAACTTGTTCCATTATTTATACTAGCAAGTAGTCAAGATACCCACCATTATATTCCCACATATACAGAAAGAGAAAAAAAAAGATATGGAGAATGAAATAAAAGAGTCAAAATTCAAGAGGATTTGTGTGTTTTGTGGGAGTAGTGCTGGAAAAAAGAGCATCTATAAGGAAGCTGCAATTGAGCTTGGAAGAGAAATAGTAAGAAAAATACTATTCTGTTTCTTAAACACTCTAATTGTTTTTCGTCTCTTTATGATACTGATGATGATGATGCATGTTAGCTTATAGAAAATTGTGAATTACATGGGAATTTTTCTGGGATTAGTATGAAAATTCGCAAGAAACTTATTTTTCTACAAATTTTCATACTAATCCCAGAAAAATTTCCATATAATTCACAGTTTTCTTGTAGTGTTATGCGTATACTTTATTGTTATTATTATGTGTAGATTATATGAATCATCACTGTGTATACATATCGAGCCATTTAAGCCAATTGTGAAAATGTTATGTTTTTGTTCAGGTTTTTGAAGTTGCTATTTTATTATATACTTAATATTTTTTTGTATAAAACAAAGGTATCAAGAAAAATAGACCTGGTTTATGGAGGAGGCAGCATTGGTTTGATGGGTTTGGTCTCTCAAGAAGTTCATAACGGTGGTCGCCATGTCCTTGGGTTAGTTCTTTCTTCTTCAAATATATTTTTTTATCAATTAACTTGAAATTATTGACAACTTGCTTTTAATTTGATCAATCACTTGAAAATTCGTCACAAAATAAGTGTTGCTTTAAAAATTTAAGACAAAATATAATACCCACTTCATCCCAAAATAAATGTCTCATAAAAACTTACTAAGCTATACTACTATTTTCAATGAAAGTAAAGTGAGCTTAAAACTAAAGTTATTTTGGGACCTAAAGTGTTTGATTAGTCAAGATTTTTAATTTCTAAGTTAAGTATCGTAACAAATTTTTACATGTTCTTTTCTTCAGTGTGATTCCCAAGACATTAATGCCGAGAGAGGTATGTTTTTTAGTCACAATATTAAGATGTTAATTTGACTTATATATATACTTGATTATTAATTAGTTTAATCAAGTGAAACAAAGAAAATAAGGAAACAAATGAAATTAGGGGGATTTTGTGGTAGCCTCTCATATTTGATGTATTTTGTACCTCATTCTTGTTATCTCTGTGTGAAGTTTATTCTTGTTGTTGGTATGTGATCCTAAAAAAAGGAAGTTGGAATATTTTGATACTAGTATTGTATTTAGTTATGTGGTATGTTTGGTTTTAATATTTTTGTTTTCAGAATTTTCTTGTTCGATAGGCTATCGCTTTCTTTATTCCCTTCCCTCCCTTTTGGTCCCCCTGTTCTAACACAACAATTTGTCTTCTTTGCGGACTACTTAATTTAGATATATATAAAAAATAGGAACATGTTTCCGTTAGGGTCAAACCTTATCATAATATCAAAAATTATAGCTGATAGTAAAGGTATAACCTTATTTCTTAATTAAGCTCAGTATATTCGATCATAATCTACGATCAGGACTACCCCAGTCTCTGCGTAAGCAGTATGTCGGGTAAACATGCTTTGTCATAGGATGTTGACTTTATCTAATCATTAATACCCCCTCCAAAACACGTACCTTATGTAGCATGTTGCTCAATCTTCAGAATCAAATCCATGACCTCGACTCTGATACCATGCCAAAAACTATAGTTGATATAACTTTATTCCTTAAGAAATCCACCAAATAAACGTCATGTTCTATCATGACTCCTGCCCAGGCCACTTCAACCCTCTCGTAGACCTTGCCATAGGCCGTACTATGTTTGACTAGATATTTTTTAGTTAAGCGAACACAATATATAATTAAACATGAAAAATCAGCTCCAAAAAAGTTCAACCATTATAATATAATGGAAAATTATTATATAGAGACTATACATCTTTTCATAGTTATCTTTCTAAATAAATAGAGATCGATTCATGACAGATCTGCATAGTTCAAGCAGAAAGCAATGGATGTAATTGAGCGTGCCGTGTTGCCTAGTATATTAACAGCAGTTACGTACAATAGTAGACTGGAGAAAGGACGACGACCCTGCATAGAGGCTGCAATATATGCATTACAAGCCTCATCGTTTTCTTTTTGTTCTTTTCCCCACTATTCTTCCTTTTTATTCTTGTTTTATATTGTTATAAATTGCAATTACGAGGTCGGTGATTGAGTTTAGAATTTAAATAAGGAGGTTTATGTTTAAAATTTGAAGAAATAGAAACATAAAATAGTCAAAGAGATAGTTTGATATATACTATATCTATTTAAAAATTATATTAAGCAAATAATATAATTTTCCGATAAAATAAATTTAGATGAACTCCTGACTATAAGGTGACTCCGCCATTGTCGGTATATATATACCCCTCTTCTGAGGCCACAAAGAGAGACCCCCCCACTCCCCCACCAATAGTTTCTGGAGATAATATGTCTAACTCAGTGACTCTATATATATCCAGTTGGTGTGGGGCTAACAAAGTTGAGTGTCAGTTGACTTCTAGTATGGGTATTTTTGCATTGACTTTGGTAAAATTACATAACATGTTAATCTAAATCTAGTCAAATAACGTATATAATTCATAAAAGAGTACTTATTTTTTCTTTACGTAGCGAAAGCAAAAGAATAAAATAGATCACAGTTGAAATTTACTAATCGATCGTGAATGTTACAATATGTTTGAACGATGACTTACTATGGGTGTTAGAGGCGGAGCAAAGATCGGGAGTTTTGGAATTTTAAATCAATTTTATTTGAGTGTTCATATATTAATATAGATATATATTTATTTAATTTTACGAAAAAGCTAGTGAATTTATTAAAACCCATAAAATCCTACCTAACTTCACCTCTAATAAACCCGAATTTCCAACCATTTGAATACTTTTACTATAATAATAAATAGTTGTGGTGCCACATGCAGATAACTGGTGAAACAGTAGGAGAAGTGAAGGCAGTTGCAGATATGCACCAGAGGAAAGCTGAGATGGCCAAACATTCTGATGCCTTTATTGCTCTACCTGGTTCCTCTTCATTCTTCCCCATTTTCACCATATAATAACCACCTTATCATATAAATAAAATTTTCATCAACAGGTTTATCATCTACTTTATAAAAAAAGGCATAATATATAAATATGTCCTTTAATTTGACTTCGAATCATATTTATGTCCTTCAACTTTGAGTGTGTACAAGTCGACTCTTAAACTTGTATAAAGTTGAACAAATAAACACACATGTCCTACATTGTCATTTTTTGTCCAACGTAGTGTCCTATGTGTATTTTGTTGTGTAGAACTCATGTGTTTATTTATTTAAAAGTTGGATAGTTAAGTGTCTGTTTGTGCATAATGAAAGTTGGAGGTCAAAGTTAAAATTTGAAACCAAGTTTAGGATCCAATATATGTATTATGCCTAAAAAAAATGTGCTAATGACTTAGCAGTACTAATATAATTGTCGCTATATGCACTAATATAGTATAGGAATTTATTTATAATCTAACACTCTATATAATATCGCTAAAGACTCTAATGACTTTGAATGTAATGATATTAACTCAATTTCTGTTAAAAGAAAAAAAGTTATTGTCACCGAATATTTTGAATTATTAAAAAGAATCATTTTCTCGAAGATGATGGCATAAATTATCTTTGAATATATTATTATTTTATACAATTAGATCAAGGTGACATACGACGATAAAAATATTTTTTATGAGTATATCAATTTAATTATTTTGCGCTCGCATTCACTAATTTATACTATTTCTTTACAAAATACATATGACTACCTTTTATTTTCAAGAAATTAAACTATGGCAATTCTAGTGAATTTATTGGACTAATTGAGTAAATATTACAGGTGGCTATGGAACTTTAGAAGAGCTTCTTGAAGTCATTGCTTGGGCTTATCTTGGAATCCATGATAAACCGGTAATCAAATTTCTAATTACCTTTAATCAACTTAATTAGAATTTTTTTCCCCATGATTAACAGTAAATTGATTGAAATAATATTAATTGCAGGTAGGATTATTGAATGTAGATGGTTACTACAATTCCCTTTTGACGTTTATTGACAAAGCAGTGGAGGAAGGATTCATCTGCCCTAATGCCCCCCAAATTTTTGTATCCGCTCCTAATGCCAAGGAACTTTTAAATAAACTCGAGGTAAATGATATCAGAGTCAGGTATATTTTTGTTTGACTTTTTAATCCACGCCCCAGTACTTGAAGAGGAAGTTATATGGATAAAAGTTTCATACAAGTTGAAAAATGAACGGGTGAAGTGACTTTTAGGATAGAATTGGGCTCAAGTACTATCATATCTTTATGATTGGCTAATTCTGATTCATGTTGCGTCTATTATTGATATATCTGAAATAATAGTATATTACTATCATTTTTCAGGGATATTTTTCTCAGTGATGAAACTGTTGCATCAAAAAATTGGGAAAATGTGGAGTCAGATTATTCCTCCAAGATGGTTCTCCATGCCTCCTCATGAGAAGATTAATTTTAGAACAACAATCAGTAATGTATAAGTTATTTTTCAGTTTTGTTTTCTTACTATTTCTCTCAACTATGGTAAAGTGTTAATAATGATTATCATGGTTATAATATATTTGTTTTAATCTAAAAACTACCAACTACAACTTCTTTTAAGCATTTTTTTATTGATGATTGAATGATCACGACTTTTTTTCTTTAAAAAAATAAAATTTATAATAAAAAATAAATATTTAATATAATTATAAATTAAATATCTCATTAAAAAATAAAAAAAATATTTTAAAATAACAGAAATCGAGTGGAATGCTTTCCGCTCGGGCATTCTTTTCAAATTTGTTGTGAAATACATTTTTCTTAAGCGAACGATATTAATTAATCTTTTTTCTTCGTAATACATATATATGTACATTTTATCTTTTCGAATATATAAAAACATACTTAGGTATATTATTTTAGTAGTATTACAAAAATATTTCTTTCAAAATTGAGAGAGCAAAGAAGTACGCAACCATGTGGAAATGCCTCGAGGTTGGTATTACTCCACTTATACTCAATCTAAAAACAGGACCAGGTTCTTCACCTTGACGGTTTCACCAAGTGATTGGCTTGTTCGTATACATTTGTGTTATATATATATATACATATTAATTTATGTAAAAGAAAATTAGATACGATAATGAGTCTAGAATTTATTAAAATTAATCTCTCTATCATCGTATGATAAGAATAAAATTGAGTATATATAATGGTATACGAAATTTAAATTTTCACTAAAGGTTTAATATATATTTAAAAAATAAACATATGATAAAGTCAAAGGAGATTTTTGATATCTACCTACAAAATAACTTTAATCATATAATTTTTCGCGGAAGGGAGTTTAGAGAAACCCCATTGGCTCCCCTCGAATATATACATTATCCTCTTTAAACTTCACTTATGAAATTTCGTATTGAATTTATTATTATTATAAAATAGGTAAGTAATGATTTATTTATCACTTCTATTTAATTGAATTCCTTTTCCTTACTATAAACCTATAGTTTTTATTGTTTAACAATTTTCATATACTATTAATTTTGAATTAATTATTACAATACTAAATAACTTAACTAAAATAAATATTTGATTCGAAATTCTTTATCGCCCCATTGGTCAATTATTGAAACTCTCAAGAGAATTCCTAGTGAAATTTGTACAAAAAGAAAAAAAGAAAATTCCTCTTTTGGATGAGGTGGACAACACCAAATGTGCATTGTATGTTATTGGGAATAAAAACATTATATGTAATGGCATGGTCAAAATCGTGTTGCCCGTGAAAAGTTAGTAATTCCTCCCTTGAGATGAAAATCAACGTTTCATTAGTCATCTTTTAGATAATATTTTCAATATTAAGCAACGGTATCGAATATTTGAATAGAACTCTATAAATTTATTAGCGATAAATTAATAGAATTATATATATTTATTTTTTTCTATCCTATCAAATAAAATGAAATAGAGGGAGTAGATGAAGTCGGGAGAATGTGAATTGTATGAAAATATTCAGCGTTGACAAAATAAATATAGCTTTATTGTGAATTAGACAAACTAAAGAAGCTTTTTTCTAATTTAGTGTTACTTTAGACTTGAGATACTACGTTAACTTTCAACCTCTCAAGCAACGCTTGCAATGAAGTCAGCTCCTCTCTTTGACCACACGTTCTTTAGTGTTTGCTTCAGGTGATAATCATTTCGATTTTGTTTTTTTTGATATCAACTCGTTTGATTAATTTAGATTTATGATCTTTAATAACCATTAGAGTAGAAACGCTTCTGATATTTTCCATCATACCATATTGAAGAGTATCACATTTTGATATAATGCATGCATTAATTATATGTATTAGTAATTTCTTCTTTGGTGCATTTTTTCATGCTATGTATAACTAATTAGTTATATATTCTATTGTGTATCGAGGAGTGTATTGCTCTTGTAAATAGATATTTTTACGCAATATATATTATTTTTAATATACCAAATCTAACAACGGATAAGTAAGTATAACTAATACATGCATTACTAATGCACTCTATTTAATATTATTTTTATACACTCAACTAGACGATAATGTATACCAATATTGGCCCTTACGATAGAAAAGAATCAGTCCATGACCAAAGATTTGTTGTGTTCAACATTGACAGAGTTTGGCAAGAAGGCAATATATGTACCAAACCAATAAAGTCAATCCTTGCCAACCCATTTTTAATTTCTCCCACATATATAAATCTCTTCATTATTACTCAACTTTTTTAGTTTACCTTGGAGGCTTTGCTTTAGCTTAATTTGCTGAATAAGAAATTAAAAGGCAAATCTTCTTCGTCCCCCATTCATTTCTATTATTTCTTTCTTGTTTCTTTACTTCCAAGGTAAATCCATATTTCTACCTAGCACTTCTTTTTTCTTCATATTTGTATCCTATTGTATGTATTCCTTTGTTACCTGATACCTGTTGCTGGTGGGAGGTAGCACGTATCTCATAAAATTAGTACTGGTGTGCGAAAGCTGACCCAGACATCATGGTCATAAACAAAAGTATTTTCTTTTTGTTAGCAAGGATTTTGTTGAGGGGATTCAAGAAAATCGAAAAGTACCATATCTTTATGCTATTTACGGTATAATAACTTATGTCTATATTAATAGTGAAGTACAATAGTTTTTTATGAATTTAACGACGTTGTAAATTAATTTAGTGTAACCACAAAGATTAGAGCACCAAAAATGCAGGGGTGAACCTTCTTTTGTGGCAGCAAAGCCGGCTTTTAATTAGTGGGAAATTATAAGAACACTAACCATATAGTTAAGGTAACGCGTTGCTTTATATTATTTGTTTAAAGTGTTAATCCCATGTGACCTTTGCTGCATTTCCTATGCCATTCTTCAACTTCACTTTATTACTTAGAACACACACTTTGTCTCTGCCCAAGATCCAATGAACAAGCTCATTTAATCATCTATTTAAGTCTACTTGTATTATGTGTTGTACTAAGAGATAACAATTTTCTTGAATTGTGCTTTTTCCTTTTCTTCTAAGAGTTGCTTTTCACTTCATATATTTGTAGGTGGATAGTTTTCATGTGGATGAACTTTGATGGGGTTAGTTAGGAATCTTGATATGAGAAGTGGAGATTCTTTAGAAGGATTGTTGAGTGACAAAAGTAAGATGAGACAACAAAAGAGTGGTTCTTCAAGGGTTGTTACTTTGTTAACTTGTTTACAGTTCATGTTTGCTGTTTATGCTACATTTCTTCTGTATTACATGAGCCCCTCTATAGATTTAAGGTCTAAACCAGATTTTAGTTGGACTACAAGAATTGCTAACCAATGGAAGCAATTCATAATCCCTCCTCACGTCGTTACTCGTTATAATCAGGAAGCTAATTCAGTTGTTAGAGCTGAAAGTACTCAACCAAGTAGTCCTTCTGAAGTTTGTGAGCATGAGAAGATTGATTTTGTACAGAAGAAGTCGAACGATGCTGTCATGATCAAGTTGAAGACAGAGCTTTATCAAGAAGTGCTAGATTTTCAAAGAAAGTCCTTTGGTGCTGAGACTCTATCTCAACTGATGGCAATGAAGTCCAAATGGGATTTGCGCGGTCCAAACAAGCCAAAAATCACAGTGATTTTGAATCATTTTAAGAGGAAAACACTTTGTGCTCAGCTTGACTCTTTGCTAGGCCAAACCCTCCCATTTCATCATGCTTGGGTGCTCTCATTTGGAAGTCCAAATGAACAGTCCTTAAAGAGAATTGTTCATAGATATAATGACTCGAGAATAAGCTTTATCAGTTCAAGCTATGATTTCAAGTACTATGGAAGGTTCCAATTGGCCTTACAAACAGAAGCTGACCTTGTATATATCATCGATGATGACATGATCCCGGGGAAAAAGATGCTGCAAATGTTTGCACATGTTGCAGGAACAGACAAGTACAAAAATTCTGTTTTGGGCAGCATTGGTAGGATTTTGCCTTTTAGACAGAAGGATTCTAGTTTTCCGAGCTATAGGAAGTTTCGATCCAAGGAAGCAGGGCTGTATTTACCTGATCCTGCCTATAACATCACAGTGAACAAAATTGTTCAGGTGGATTTCCTCTCTAGTTCTTGGTTTATGTCTGCTGAACTTGTCAAGACACTCTTTATCGAGACACCATTTACGTTCATGACAGGGGAAGACTTGCACTTAAGGTATGTACTTTAACGGGCTTTACTTTTCTGTGCCAAAATATTTCACACAGTAAATCATATGTACACTTTCAGAAATTTCATCAATCTCTTCATTTAAGAAAAGATAATAAATTTGCGAGTCAGTCATATGTTAATGAGTACATTACATAAAGTAATATAACTTTGTTCATATATTGATATAAAAAATGTCAATATTCTAGGACTGCTCCACTTGATAATGCATAGTGTACCACTAGATTGTTATCTGATAAAGATTAGCATTTTGCAAGTTGATCATTAGAATGTCTATTCTTTTCTAGGCACTTTAGAAAAGAATATTCTTCACCTAATAATATTTGATTTCTTAATGATCAACTTTTCTGCAAAAAGTATTATACTATTGGAGTCCTGCATATTCTGTGTCTCTCTTGTTTGATCCTTAAGTAATCCTCTTTTTGGCTTTTAATCTGCTTTATGAAAATAAAGGAACTTTATAAGAACTTATAATGACTTCAATTTCATTAAAAATTGCAGCTATCAGCTTCAGAAGTATAGAAATGCTGCTTCGTTTGTGCTACCAGTTGATCCAAAAGATAAAGACACTTGGGGTGACAGTGAGCATAGGCTTGCCTATGTATCCGAAACAACTGTAATTTTCAAAGACATTGTTCAAGTACGAGATGATCAGTGGTGGAAGGTGCTTTCTACTGGCTACGTGACACAATGGGCTGCGATGTATCCACAAAAAATCGATGTGCTTTTCTATGCCCACTCTGTCGATGAAGTTAAAGCTCTTGCGCCTCTTCTGCTAAAGTTCAGTTCAACTGTTGGAAAAAAGGCCTATATCGTTGTCTCAGGAGGCAAATTTTGCCCTTGTGAAGATGCTGCAGCAGCTTTGAAGTGGCCTAAGACAGTATGCAAGGAAAAAAGATTCAAGATTATGGATCTAGGAGTTGGTGCTTTATCAGGAAATTCAAATTCAGAAGTGCCTGTTGTTCAAGCAGTGTATGCTAGCATGAAAGGACTGATCAAAATTCACAATCCTAGCTTAGTGATCACAGTAGACGATACAGACTCTAACGTGAAGAAAGCTCTGAAGATGGCTACTGAAGCTAACACAAATAGTTCAACACTCGTTCTTCTTCCAAAGTCATCGGTGTCAAAGGTTCTTTGGATGGCTGATATTCGTTCAACAGCATTGCCAAGTAAGAACTTAATGTATTTTACACTAAATACTTCCCTTTTTTTTTGTGTAGATTTCTGAACAGCGCGTTTTTTTTTACTTCAGATTGGAACCGTATGAAGATTCATGTGAATATCATCACACAAACCAGAGCTAATTCACTTGCAAGGCTTCTCAAGTCTCTAAGTGATGCATACTACATTGGTGAAGAAGTTCCTATAACTTTCAACATGGATAGCAAGGTGGATGAGGCAACTCTAAAGCTTGTCAACTCATTCAATTGGCCTCATGGACCCAAAATTCTTCGAAGGAGAATCATTCAAGGAGGCCTAATTCGAGCAGTTAGTGAGAGTTGGTACCCCTCATCGGACGATGATTTTGGTCTCTTACTTGAAGATGACATTGAAGTTTCCCCATACTATTACCTTTGGATCAAATATGCGCTCTTATCCTACCACTATGACCCTGAAATATCTCTCCCTGAGCTCTCCTCGATCTCTCTTTACACTCCACGGTTAGTGGAAGTTGTAAAAGAAAGGCCTAAATGGAATGCAACAGAATTCTTCAAACACATCCATCCAAACACACCTTATCTCCACCAGCTACCTTGCAGTTGGGGTGCAGTTTTTTTCCCAAAGCAATGGCGGGAATTCTACGTTTACATGAACATGAGATTCACAGAAGACGCGAAGCAGAATCCTGTACAAATCCCAAGATCAAGAACCAATGGTTGGCAAGCATCTTGGAAGAAGTTCTTGATAGACATGATGTACTTAAGAGGGTACGTTACACTTTATCCGAATTTTCCAAATCAAACAAGCTTTTCGACTAATCATATGGAACCAGGAGCACATATTGCAGCTAAAGAAAATGTGATCAAACATAACAAGGCTGATTTTGAGGTGCCATTGCTAAAAGAAGACTTTAGAAACTTTCTACCTAATGGAAAAATGCCTGCAGCTACAAGATTACCTTCATTAAACCTCTTTAATCAACCAGTTTCTCTCAAGGGCTTAAAGGCAGCTGGTGCAAAACTGGGACAGGATATTCTTAAATGCAATCAAACAGAGATAGTAACTGTGAACCATGAGACAGGTGTACCTTCACATTGTACAAAATTCTAAAAAATTCATAATTTTTTTTCTTCTTCTTTCATTTATAGATCATTGAAGGTTTATTTGATAAGTTTTTTTCCTTATTGTTATACATTTAAGTAAGGACTAAGAGTTGTATAGTTTAACATTGTAACAGCCAAAAAGTGGCTATCTGCACACTGTATGTATCCTTCTTTTCTCATTTTCACTCTTCCTTGACCCTCTGAATTCATCTTGAAAAGCAACAAACAATACATCCAGCAAAATCTCACGAGTGTGATATGGAGAGGATAGACGGTAAGCAAACTTTATCACGAGCTACTTTATGCAGGTGAAGAGGTTATTTTCAAAAGATTCTCATTGCACAAAAATAGCCAAAAAAGCAATAGATTCGTGTGATACAAAAACAATAATAGAATTTATGAGACTCTTTTTAACTTACTTACAAAAAAGTCATAATGGCCAGAAACCCGTAATGATTATTCAAATAATTAATTATTCCAAGAAGTATTTTTTTTCTTTTTAATTTCAATTTTTTTCGATAAAGAAAGAAATTTTTTGAGAAAATAGTAAGACATTTGTTCACTTGGCATGTCCAAGAATCACTTCATGCAACAGTCATACACATTTTAACTCATGCGTTGATTAAATACTCTTGTCATTGCATTACTTTATAAAATCTGATTTTGAAGAAGAAATTTTAACAAACAAATTAAAAATAAAAGATGAATATATTTATCATTTGTTAAAATATTGACTTCAAAGAAAATATTTATGTAAGTTAAAAATGATAAACTTACTTGAGGCAATTAGAAATAAATGTTAATACTTACTAAACTATCTATCATTTTATTAGGACAACAATTGCTTAATTTTTTTCTAACTTAATTATGAAGCATGATTTAAAAGGAAAATGAGAGAGTATTAAGTATCAAATATAAACAAGAACAAAAAAGAGCAAAGGTAATTTAATCCCTAAATGTTGATTGTTGCGTGAGTTTTTGAAATATTGATTTCAATCAATTTATGCTAACAATTTTGGACAGGTAGTGGTTGTGCACTCTACTTAACCTTTCAACTTTATGTTTAAATCTTAATACATAAGCAACTTCTAAAATACACGTAAAACATTTTCCAAAATTTGAATATACAATACGATAATGCTGTATTATGTATTTTAAGTGAAAAATTATAATTCAAATATCTAAATGTAATTTATTTACGCACTTAAAAACTACTTAAATCTTAAGCCTTGTGGTTATATCAAGACATCTTGCATTAGGAACATATTTTACTAACAACAAAATTAAAAGCTTACTAAAGAATTATGTTCTCTTCCATGTCGAACACTTAATTAATCCATAATTCGTTTTTCTTTCATTAATTTTGTACTATGATATATATATATATATATATATATATTTATTTTTTTTATTTATTATTATTATTTGTTATTTTTTTTACTAA